GGAAAAGCATGGTTTCGAACAGGACACTATCATTTGATGTGAATAACATATTTGTCGCGCACCATCGTGTTTTGAAGCCAAATCATATCTATTAATATATAAAGAGGGAATGATAGTTTTTTAAAAAAATCAAGGAGAAAATCAGAAAAAAAAAGATTTCGATTCCCGCCTAAAATTTCAGAATTACTATGTAAATATTTTGGCAAAAATTGAAATATCCCGCTTCTACCAAATCTGTTTGAATTTTTCAAAAATTTAAAAATAAGATCTTCCTAAAAAAATGGGAGAATATCGATGATGATATATGCTATCAGATTAGTTTGACCATATTTCTAATTTCACTCTAAGATATGCGTTAAGCAAATCAACACCCTTTTATTTATGAGCTGGATTCCGACCTTGCCTGACCCCTATATTTATTCCCATAAAATGAGTTTGGAGGTGCTCGTGGGTGTACTCGATTTTCAAATAAGAAAATTGCTGATCTGTTTTCCCAGCCTGGTACCAACTCTCGACTTGATTGACGAAGAAGAAATCGGTGCGATCTCCGCTTCCCAAGGCCAGAGGTACGAATTGGCTTGAGTCTGAGAGCGTTGAGTTGAAAAGTGAAGGATCCTCTTATGAACACTATGAAACTCGAAGTTCAGGAGAAAGAAGAAAGTCAAGGGAATGAGAAAGAAAGATGAATTCAAGGGCAAAGCAAGCCATCAATCAACTTTTATGAATTCACTTCGCTTCGTTTGTGCCGAAGAGCCCTCTCCTCTCCTTAGAAAACCTAATCCCCAAATCTGTCGTCTCCTCTCCTCTCCTCTCGCTCCATCGCTTTGCCTCCTCGGGGACGGCGTGGCTCCGGCCGGTGGTCACCCTCGACTGTCGGCCCATCCCTGAAGTTGTATGCCTTTGATGTCGTCGTGGTTCGTCTGAGGTTGGAGTTCTGAGGTTTGTTTGAAAGATTACCTAATTATAACCATATTGTTCCATCTATTATTCCATAAATGTGATAAGGGGATTATTGATTAATCAGATTGGATTTTTAATTATTTTGGAGATGAATTCGATATTCGGATTTGACAGAATTTCGAAATGCAGGAAATTCAGAACCAAAAAATGTATATAATATTTGCTTTGTTTGTGCTTGAAATGTGGATACATTTTGACTTATCTATTCGGAAAAGCAAATTAGTCGAGCCAGAAGATCAATTATATAAAAGGNCAATTATATAAAAGGTTGTTAAAAGCTACAACCTTTCGGAACAATATTTTCTCAACTAATTTGATTTATGGTCTTTTCGAGGAGATTTTGCATTGTTTCTATTATACTCGGTTAGAACTTCGAGTATTGATCTAAATCTCAATAGCTATTTAGTTTATTAATATACAGAGTTTGATGAATGTAAGTTATGCTTCTTCTGCTTCGACCATTGGCATAAATGATCTAACCTTAGAACACGAAATCATAGGATCGGCTATTATGATTGTCGAGTAGGACTTTTGGAAAATCATCTATTCAAGAGTAAGTTCGGTTTGTTCTTCTATGAATGGTGTTATATGCAGTGCTTGCAGATAACTACAAAAGAGTGATTAAAAAAGAAAGAAAGAGTCCCATAATCTCTATAAGATTAAACTTTGCTGCATTGGATTATAAATATGTAAGCTTAGCAGGTTTCAATTCGACCAACTTGAAAATGTGATGATGAAGTTAAGTTGGTTGGTGTTGTACTTTCAGGAGGATTGTACTTTCAGCCACTTCCATGGAGTTTGAGAATGAAGATTGCTCTTAATGCTGCAAGAGGGCTCGCCTTTCTCCATAGTGACGAAATAAAAGTAATATACCGGGACTTCAAGACTTCTAACATCTTTCTCGACTCGGTAAGTAAATTTTTTATTTTATTCTTTTTTTCTGCTTGCCTTAGGATTAATGAATTAGAATCGATTTTTTTTGGAGTTTTCAGATTGGTTTGGTTGAGTTGTACTGAGTTCGTGACTGTCTTTTCGTGCCTTCCCTTAACTCACAGAACTACAGCGCGAGGCTGGCTAGGGACGGGCCCACTGATGATAAGAGTCATGTCTCGACTCGGGTCATGGGAACTTACGGATATGCAGCTCCCGAGTAAATATCTACAGGTACAAATCACATGTTAGCCCAATTTTATTATTATTTTTTTTTCTTGATTTATATATGTAATCTGCTTAGCTTATGATTCTCATTGCACCATTTCGTGTCTATTTAGCTTTCGGTTTTTACCA